TATATATATATGTATATATATTTATATATATGTGTGTTTAGGTATATGAAGATCAATATACGTACACATGCGTATTTATATATGGAAATATACGTTCTACATACAGATAGACGTATAAAAAAAATGAAATAACGTTTTCTGCACAATCTTCGCATCCACGTCCTCCTCTATATCCCTATACTGCAATATATATACATACACTGATATGTACTATACACGCGCGTTCGGTCCCATACCCCACCTCAACTGCTCTATGCCAATTTCACAAAACATTACAGCAGCCCCGGCTCAGCCCACCCCAGGTGCAGTGGTAGTTGGCCTGGGTGAAATGGACGATAAGGAACGAGCGGCTATCTTAGCCGAGTTTGAGAGGAAGCGCAGGTTACGTACGCTCGCTGTACCCACAGATGACCTGATGGTCCGAAAGGCGTTGCGTGAGATGGAGGAGCCCATCACCTTGTTTGGCGAAGACAAAGGACTGAGGCGTGAGCGTCTCAAGAAATGCACGCTTAAGAAACTCGAAGTGGTATGTATGTATGTATGTATGGGTTTTGTGGGTTTTAGAGGTTTTGGGGTTTAAACCCTATGTATGCTGGCCGACTTGATGAGTCCCGAGATTGCTTGGAGTGCTATAAGCATGGCGAAGCATTCGATTCTTATGCTCTAACCCTTGCTGGTCGGCCTGCAATTTGTTCTTGGGATGCCCATGAGTTTTACGAGTATGGTAGCGGGTGCACCAGGTTCGCGTGTTTGTGTCTGTGTGCGCGTGTGTTCATGTTTCTGGGTGTGTAGGTTAGCATGATTGTATGCTTGGTGGATAGATGGCATGTTATAAGGTAGGTTAGCATGATTGTATGTTTGGTGGATAGATGGCATGTTATAAGGTTTGCAATGCTGAAATTTACGTACGCCTGTGCGGTTTAATGGTTGTCTCGTGCGTTGGAACATCGTACGCGTCGGCTTCACTATAGAAGGTGCGTGTATCAGTCTGTAATCAACCCATGCATGTACACTAACAACCATGCACATTTGCCAGGTATACATACGCAAGGAAGCCGTACCTTGTACCCGTGTTCGTAACGTATATTAGACAACCTGTAGTATATTGTTGACATGATGTAAAATATGTAATATACGTAATTTGCTGACATGTTATAATGACATGTAGTATACGTGATGTACACATTTGCTCGCGTGTGTTATGCAATGGTTGTAGGCCTCTAAGGGAACCATGCCGTCTCAATCCTCACTGACATTAAGGCAGCTCGCATACACGCATCTGAATACTCGAGGAATAGTATCACTTTTTTCCTAGTACTAGTTGACAAGCTCATGGAGTATGGATACACCCACTCATGTATCTCTACGGATACTATTTTTTTTTCTGTGATATCATTGTTTTGGTTGGTATTTTCAGGAAGCAGAGGCTGCACTCAAAGCACCGAAAAAAAAGAAAGAAGAAGTAGTGGTGGAGGAGAAGAAACCCGAGGTGTGGTATCACGAGGGACCACCTGAATTATTAGCTACCAGACTGTACATAGCAAAGTATTCAATTCCCAGGTACATGTCTTGTCTATATCTGTCAGCACT